GCTCAACATCCGGCTGTTTGTCAGAGCTTCTGAACAATAAATCCAAACTACCAATGATGCAAGAATAGTCAACGTAAATGAAAAGTCAACTAGTATCATTGGATCATTCATTCATCCCTTATCCATTCCATTCTTTCCATGCGCTCATTTACTGCATTGGTTCCATTACATTCATTACTCTGATTTTCAGTCACAGATAGTTTTCAACTGAAGTCTAACTCTGAAATACAGAGTTTCTTTCTTTTCAGTAAAGAACCATCGGTTTTGGAAAATTTTACACCTTTTGAATCATCAGGGTCATGCTTTCGGCATCGAATCTCTCTGTTGCATACATACAGGTAGTGGTACACAATTACACCGTTCGGGTGCGAAGCTACGGTTCATTTCTTAAACAGATTCACCGTAAAGTTTTAAAGAGCTACGTCATTTCCAGGGTGTTATACACAGGCCGTCATTAGCCTGCGCTAAGGGATTGATGAGCAGAGATTTAGATGACTTAAAAATACGCATTGTACGACGGTGTCGCCGATGACGAATTATGCAGACCTTGATCAGAGCAGTGCCAGTTTGCAACACGTTACCGGAAAAAACTCGAAACTATTTTTTTTTGTTAGAAAGATAGTAAAAATTAAGCTTTGGACACTTGCACAATAATCCTTACGCGTCAATTTCGCGCTGCTTTCGTATTCTTTCAAGCCGTAGTTTGCATTCCATTTCCAACTCGATGTTGTGAACCCGGGAGTCGTTTTCGACTTTTTCTTTCAACGTGTCGTAATTTTCATCAATCTGTTGTAAGAGCCAAGAAAGGCGGTTTTTCACGGTGCGACTCGCTCTGCCCGTCCTGCACTTTATTATCGGGTATTCCTCCTATAACGTCAACGATTTAAACAGCGAAGAAAACAAACTGGACAGAAAACTGTTTGGCAGACCAGTTTGCAGGGACACCGATTTGTGTTCACAAGGTGTTGTAGGTCCAAAGCTTCGGCAACCGAGACGATGCTCATACCACTCCTGGTGTCTCGCTTATTTATTAGCCTTAAAAGACTAAAATAATGTCACTCAGTCACAATCTCGATCATTCAGCGACCACTCACAAAAGTACGGGTTTCCCTTGAATCCATTCGTGGCTTAGTACGCCAGTCAGAACCACCTTCGCCTCGTTTAACCGATTTAATTCGCTTCCGTTGACGACGAAAATCAAGCCGTGTATCTAATAACATTACAGATGATAAATCGCGTTCACACTAATAGGCTGCAATTAAAAGCCAACCCTGAGAAATCAACATAAACCTTGAAATGGCATGGAACACTCTTGGAATATTGGAAAAGTTCTTACCTGAAAACTGCCCTTGTACTTGGGCCGGCAAATTTTACAGATCAGTGAGTGTGCTTCCAGAGCTAACGCATGGATGTGAAACACAGATCCTAAGCCTGCAAGGAATTCGTTAATTGGAGACTAAGCGGCACAACACAGAAACGTGTGTGGAGAACATACGAAGAAAAACTAGAAAGATGAACGAACGGGACAGAGCACAAGCAGAAGTATGCAATGCTCCTGCATTAGTAACAGAGTAGAACTGGACACAAGCAGTATAATATGCAAACAGAATCGACCATCTTTTGGCAAGAAAGACAGACTAGTTCCATGGTAAAGTAAATGACCTACAGAAAGACCCACAAATCGATGGTAAAACAAGCTGAAGAAATTCGTTGAATCAAGATGAATAAAGTTACAGAAGCTTATGGCAAAGTTTTTGTCCAGTAGCGGATCGAAAAAGGCTGATGATAATACTGATTAGCTAACAAACTGAATAACTTAAGATCGATAACTAAATATCAGTGTCGAGTAGTGCTGTTCGTGGGTTTTAACACTGACTTCTGCATCGATATTTCGCATATTTGACAGAGTCGCCAAAACCAGAATCGGAAACGGAATAATCACCAGATAAGAGCCTAACCGCCACCTAACTACGATCAGACCGACCCTACCGACCCTACCGACCCTACTACGATCAAACCGACCCTATCTTAATTACAAGAAAAGAAACAGCTGATTTTACAGGAGTACCGGGCGACGAGAGGTTCACGTTCACATTAAGGAAAGCGACCTGTGACCAAGGAAGTAGTCATCTTTACGTGCTAAGATGAATGAACATGACAAGTCTTAAGCTGCCTGCAGTCGAGCAGCCCTGCAAAGCAATCGAGGATGATGATCACAAAACAGTTAACCAACAAACCACACGAATGTGCACTGCACAGTTTAAAGCGGCACTGATTACGACGAATCCTGCATGAAGTAATGTAAGATGTCTTAATATTACGACCGGGCATCTCAAAGACCTCATGAAAACAAGATCAACTACAATGGCATTGACAGTCGTTGAAAGGTTCTTGTTAGAAGTCTTCCTGATTCATATCACGGAAAATGCTATGAATCGAAATTGTCAAAAACATGGATTAGACTACAGAAAAGACTTTAAAGGTCAAGGCTATTCGGATCAAAAGTAAAGGAAAAAAATCATTTGATCGATTCGTATCGAAGTTGGCAAGTACGACACAACCAAGGGATCAAGACAAAGTATGCTGACTAGAACTAATACTGACATAATATCGAACTACTGACCTCAACTTATAAAAGTAAACGAATCGATTAGTTTCATAGCTTGGCTAAATGAACGTTAGATGTTCTAGTCGAAGCCTGGTTCCATCTCAACACGAATTTGTCATTTGTAAATATTTGAAGTAAAGCATTCCATCGTTATTAATGCTTTATTGTTCAAATGTCCGGTACACGACTGTACCTTCAACAAGATGAAAATACGATAATCTACTACGTACAGAAGGACCATTACCGTGGCTCAGCTGGTCTCAAGGACAAATCTCAGACATGGCCGAAACATCTGCATTGAAAATCTCACTGGCTCGTCAGACGTTAACGTGGGAACAACCAGCATCACAAATTGAGGAAACTGAGCAAACAAAACGAAGATCTACTGCTGCTAAGGAGTTCCTTCCAATATTAGCATGTGAAACATTGAAATAAGACAACAGGTATCTCAGTGGCCTACAGATTGTCACGTGATTAATGATAAGGATGACACTAATTAAAACGAAACCCAATTACTGGCTTACGATTTGCCCATGCAAAACAAGTCATAAGAGCCTAAGTTGAAAAACGACTTCCACGTATGCGCTATGTAAGCAATAGTGTGAAAAGAGTCAGTCAGTT